CCTGCTTGGTCGGGTATTCTGTGTTGTTGTTGGCGAAGCTCTCTGCTATACGGCCACCCGATCCGCCATCTTGTTTGTTCCTCCCTCATGTTCTTTTAATCCATTGACATTCAGCATAATTATCGATAGGTATGAATTAATTGCTCTCATGTTTTTTTTTTGTGATGCTGCTGGTTCCTTTGTTCTGCATGCCTTCCTGTGCTGAGTTCATATTTTTTGTGCTCTTTTCTTATAAGTTTCTTCTTAATTTTAATGTTTTCTTGGATCTTCATTTTCTTGGTACGTTGTGAAGTATTAATTGTCTTTGATGTTACCCTGTAATCTACTAACTTTTCCCTCCATTTAAGATAGTCTATTTTATCCTGAAATCTACCTGACCTCCTCACCACCTGGATCTCTGTTCCTATATTTTCCCCTTTGATATTGTTATTATTTTGATCTTTGATTGATCTCCTAGATCCTCTGAATTTGTTTGTTGTAATTTTGTTCTATTCTGGACTCTGCTATCTGTCGACTGAGTTCTGGGTGGTGTTGCTACGTCTGTCAGTCTCTGTTTGGTGTATGGTCCTGTTGGTTTTCAGTCCAAAGAACTCCCTTTTGAAGTGCTAGATTGTCTTTGACAAAGTCTCTTCGCTTCTGTTTATCCTGGAATGTTTTGAATGAACTGTCATATTTGATTGACAGCTTTGCTGGGTAGACGATTCTTGGTTGGCAGTTTTTTTTTCTTCTAGGGTTTTATATGTTTCCCCATTGCCTTCTTGCCTGAGTGGTTTCTGCTAGAGATAAGAGCTTAATCTGATTTGCTTGCCTTTGTAAATAACACTTCTCTCCTTTTCTTTGATTTTGGAGAGCTTGATTATGATATGTCTTGGTGGTTTTCTTTTGGGGTCTATCCTTCTTGGGGTTTGTTGAGCTTCTTGAATGCTTATCTTTTCATTTTTCAGGATGTTAAGGAAATTTTCTTCCAGAAGATCCTCAACTATCTCCTCTTTGGACTTCTGTGATTCTTCCTGTTCTGGAATATCAATAATTCTTAAGTTATTCCTCTTCATGTTGTCCAATATGAATCTTAGACTTTCTTCAGATTTTTTAAATCCTTTTTTCTGCTTGCTCTTCTAGGCTTTCTGCTCCTGTAAAGATTTACAGCCTCAGAAACCCTGTACAGGGTCGCTATGAGTTGGAACCAGCTCCACAGCACATAACCACCACCACCACCTTCTATTTTAGCAGTATTGATAGATTTGTTTTCCAGCTCGCTGGTTCTGGCTTCCATCTCTTCAATTCTACTCATTTGCCCTTTTAGTGTGTTGCCCATTTCTGACACTTTATTATTAATCACTTGGACCTCTTTTTGCAGGTTTTGAATTGTTCCAATGCTGTATCTATCTCATTTGATTGCCCCTGTAGCACTTTCTGGACTTCTTCCTTACTTTCCTTCACTCCACTGTGGAGCTTTTGGATGTGCCTCAGTGTCATTCTCTTAAATTCCTTCTCAGGCATTTCCAAAGCCTGCTTTCCTTCTAATGGGAAGTCTATGCCTATCTCTAGCTTATTTGTTTCAGTTCCTCTGTTTTGTTTCTGGACATGTGCAGAGATCTTTTGTTGTTTCTTGGACATTTTCAATAGTTAGATGTATTTTAATTGATTAAATGAATGTATGTTGCTGTATTATTAAGCTTATTGAATGCTTCTTGGTGGATGTGATCTGGAGATAGGCTTCCCTTTTCACGTCTCTTATTACTCAACTGCAAGTAACCTTAGCAAGTGTTGGCTATCTATGTAATGTGTAGTAGCTAGTACTGGCTCCTGTCCGGATGGTGGGCTGTTATAGGGTATGCTTGTAGCTTGGCCATGTGGCCATGATTTCTGTCTCTTTTTGGGTAAGGTAGAGAGAGAAAGCTCCTACCCCACGGGAAAAAAAAATTAGGACCAAAAAGAAAAAGTAGAAACAAAAGTAAAAGCAAAAACCAATACAAAACCGTAGCCAACTAGTCTAGTAGCCTTTGCTGTGCAGGTCAGTGTGCATGCACAGTAGAAACCTCCGGGGTGGGTAGGGGTATCCACTCACTCAGGCTTCACCTCTAGTCACTGCCGTGGAGGTGCGCAGGCAGAGAATGAGATATGAATGAAAGAAAGATTATTTACATTTTTATCTCTGAAGATCGGTTAGGTTTCTGCATATCCACAGCATACTTCTCAAAATGACTGTGCCCTTGTATATAGTAGTTGATGTTGACTCTTGCCTTTTATGTTGAGGTTTTACAGGGTTCAAATATAGCTTGTCTATATGGCCAGACCTGCTGTCCCTTGTTAGATAAGGCAGGAATAAAAGCTTCCACCCAAGTAGGAGAGCCAAGTTCAGGGCTAAATCCCAATGTCAAATGTCATAAGAACCTGACAGAAGATTACCCTCTGGAGCGAACTAGGGCTTTCAACTACTTCTTCTATGTGCCATGGGAAAATTGTACCCTGTGGGTGCAACACTGTACCCTTTTGAGGGTGTGCTCCCACCTGTATGAAGACATGTGCTGGGCAGAGAGGGTATGACAGGGGAGAGCACAGAGAGGAAGAAAAAAAAGTCATACCTCTATTTCCATAAGTCGCTGGGTGTTTTTCACGCTGTAGCAGGCTGGCTGCGACCCCACCCTCTGACTTCCACTAATACGCCATGTGGGTCCAAGGCACCCCATTTGATTCAGAAATCACCATGTTTCTTATCGCCCCAGTCAAATTTCTCTGCCGGTGGGTGCCGCAAACTATTTACCCTTACTTTATATTAAATTGGAAGCTCCGGGACTGTCCCAGCAAAGCTTTTTTTCTGGCTCTTCTACACCTCCGCTGAAGAGCCTCTGCTGAGTGCCTCTGCTTATCCCACCTCATGGAGGCCTTTATAAAAATTGTGATAAAATATATAAAAACGTTTAGAAGGTGAACTTCTTACTAGGGCTGTTATGCCAGTGATGTGTTGCCTCAGCTGCTGCCCTAGGAGAGCCAAGATGGCTCCCTTACTTCAGTGATTTGGTGTTATATCTTGAGAGACAACAACCAGCACAATAGTCCTTCTTCCTGGACTGAGTTCACAGAGAACATCATGGACGTGAACATGTGTGTGCCTGCTGACCTCCCCAGATTTTCTGTCAATTCTCAGTGGAAAGAGTGAGTGCCTGGATTAAAGAGAAATCTCTGTCCTCAAAGAAAGTTTTTCTTAAGAACTGAGGTGAAATAACAAAGAGAGGGTTTACAGAAAGTCTTTGGTGTCTGAAGCCTGGACAATCCACTATGCATCTCCCCACCCTGTGCTGCATGAGGAAACCCAAACAGCCCCTTCTCAGAAGTGCCATCTGTTTCCTCACAGCTGTTATTTCCCAGGGTGTGAATGGAATATGTGGCATCAAGTTAAGAGAACAGGGTTCCAGCCCTGGCTTCTTATTAGTTGGGTGAACTTGGGAAATTTGTTTAGTAGTGCTGGACCTCAGTTTCCTCATCTGTAAATTGGAGATAGCAATGGTACTACCTTTTAAGATCATTGTAAGGACATAAAATGATAATGCTTATGAATTACTTGGCACAAAGCCAGATGTATTGTAGGTGTTTAAGAAATGATGTCTCCTATCATCCTTCTATGAGAGTGCTTCCGGGAGAGGCCAGAAAGATGGCAGGATGGCTTTATATTCAGTGGTTTCAATATGATTGATGCAGAGTCTCTGATTTCATCTGTATTCATTTCATTGCTCAGTATTGATCCTCCAGAAGGTGGAGAATGGAGACCTAAGCAAGAAGATTTTGAAGATCACTGACTTTGGCCTGGCTCGTGAATGGCACCGAACTACCAAGATGAGTGCAGCAGGGACATATGCATGGATGGCTCCCGAGGTAATCCGTGCCTCGATGTTTTCCAAAGGCAGTGACGTATGGAGGTAAGGTCCAACGGTTCAGGGACAGTGTTCTTTCAGGTCTCCTTTTGACTGCACACATGCTTCAGGACTTGAAGACTAATAATACATAAAGTCCACGTACAGTCCACGTAGGTCTAAGTGAATTCTTGCATTGTCAGAGGACAGTGTCCAGTGCTTCCATTACAATAATGCCCTTGAATGCTTGGATGGTACCACCTTTATGCAAGCCCCTCTTTTACCCATT